CCACAAGGACGGAGCAGTCAGTCCTTGACTGCGACTGTTGCAGCAGCGGCGACAGCAGCAGCGGCTACAGCAGCAGCGGCTACAGCAGCAGCGGCTACAGCAGCAGCGGCGGTGGCAGCAGCGGCGGTGGCAGCGGTGCTGACACTGGGACAGCGTTGTGAGGACAGTGGTGACAGCAAGAGCTGGAGGACTGGTAGAGGGAAAGGCACCATGGCCTTTCCTCTGCGCCTCTTCCTCCTGCTCCTCCTGGCAGTGGCCCTGCCTGACAGGGCTGCCCAGGCTGCTCCCTGGCGAGCACAGGGAGCAGGTGAGCCCACGGCCTGGTTTCCCTTTCTCAAGACAGCACTCCCTTCTCCCTGGGAAGCGTTGGGAATGGTTTTCCGCAAAGCATAAGGGAGGGTTTCCCCTGTGGGAGGGAGAGAGTCCCCAGGGGCCCTGGGCTGCTCCTGCCACACCTCCAGGGATGTTGCAAAGGGACTGCAAAGAGGGTGTTGAGAGTGACCACAGCTCCCCAGGTCCCTCTGCAGCTCTGACCATGTCCATTGACATCTGACTGCCAAGGCCTTACCCAAACCCCTTGCAGTGCCCAGTCCCCTAAGGCAGAAGGGGATCCCAGAATGCACCATGGACATGGTTCTGATCTGTGCTCCAATCTAGATTGGAATCATCACATGGATTACCTGGAAGTAATGAATGATGGCTTGAAATTCTTGGAGGATGTTGGAGGCAAGTTCTCAATTCCCCTTTTTACTTACAGAATAATCAATGTCAAGGTGGCAAGAGCTCAGCCATGTGCCACTTCCCTTAACATAATATCAGGGGTGATACGTTTTTGAAACCTTGTCCCACTGGAGCCCTGAGTGATCCCACAGGATTGCTGTCAGTGGCAGGAAGGAGCATTTAGCTGTCAATCTTCTTCCCATGTGCAATACCAGTGTCTCCTGTGTGCTCTGTGTAGCCATGGAGAGGAGCAGACAGGGAAGGGGCCAGGCCCAGGGCTGTGCTCCGGGCCTGTGCCTTGCACGGCTCCTTTGCTGGCTCCAGGGACCCTGAGAATCTCCTATAGAGCTACAAGAGATGTTCTGTCCTGCCTTTCTTTGCAGCCAAGCCTCTCGGTGAAGGTGATGCAGCTCCTCAACCCACACCCAGGACTGAGCCTCTGGGAGATGGTGAGGGTAGGTCAAGGCCTTTCCCCCAGGGAGAGCGGCCAGCTCAGAGCCCAGAGCTCGGTCAGGGCAGCATCACTGCAGGTGCCAGGACAGAGCCGTGCACGTGTGTGCCCTCGGCCTGCGTGATCCCCTCAGGGCTCCTGCAGCTCAGAGCTGCCTGTGCAGATCAGCAGAGATGAGAGAAGCTTCTGTGGCTGTTTAGTTACAGGTGTGTCTGCAGGGAGGACTTTGCCAGCTCCTGGGTTGGTTACTGCAGACAAGCCCGGCTCCCATCGCAGGGTAAGTGGTGTGTCCCTCCTGACCCCACAGCCTGAGCAATGGTTTTGCGGGATCCATTCCTGGGAAATGGAAATATTCTGTTCTAAGCTCCCCAAAGACAGAAGACCAAAGATACAGCAGAAGAGAAATCCCTGGAACGATCTGAACTTATACGGCAAATGCTGAAGGAAATGCAGGGGGGAGCACAAGGTGGGTCCATGTCCCTCAGCTTTCTCTTGAGACTCAGCAGCCGGGGGCTTTCTCTGCACATCTGGACACGCCGTGCCCGGCACAGCAGGAAGGGATCCATGGTATCCTCACAGCCCCACTGATGCTTTCACAGCCTGCAGGGCTGTCTTCCAGCCAGGCCTGGCTGCAGCTTCTCCCCAGCCTCTGCAGGAAGGCATTTGGCATCAGCTGACAGGGAGTCTCAAACTGCAGCACAGGCCATGCACACCCTGAGATCCCCTGCAATTTCTCAGTCTCCGGCTAGATCAGGTCGAGGGGCTGTTTGGAGAAGGGACCAACCTGGGACAATCCTGAAATCCTGGGTGTTTGCTGATCCTTATCCATGCCTTTCACAAATATTGCCTCCTGAAGATGGCACCTCTGCAATAAGGAGCAGCCCCATCTGATCCAGCTGTCCCTCTTCCATTCTCCAGGAATGAAACAAGAGCCTGTGCAGCAGGAAACCATTCCCGAAGGAAGCAGCGATTCTGTGCCCGACTCTGCTGCAGGAAGGGAGGCCATGCCAGGCACAGTAACACAAGGTAATTGCTGTGCCTCTGGGCCTGAGCCCTGCTGAGGCTTGAGCTGCCACCTCTGCTGCAGGAAGGGAGGCCATGCCAGGCACAGTAACAAAAGGTAATTGCTGTGCCTCTGGGCCTGAGCCCTGCTGAGGCTTGAGCTGCCATCTCTACTGCTTGGCAGTGCCTGCCCTTCAGGGATGTTGCACAGAGCATGGAAAGGGTGTTGAGAGTGACCAGGAAGCAGCCCAGAGCTCCCCTGGCCCCTCTGCAGCTTTGGCCATATCCATTCAGGACAGATGTGGCTCCCACAGCCTTACCCAGCCCCACTGCAGTGCCCAGTTCCCTAAGGCTGAAGAATATCCCAGAATACCCTAAAAAAGGTTCTCATGTGTGCACCCTTCCAGATAAGGTTCCTGGCAAGGTTTCTCCATTAGCTTGGCTGCATAATGTTGTGAAGCACACTGGGCCTCCTGCAGGTATGTTCTCAGTATCCCATGGAGAAATAATCATTGACAACCTGTCAGGAATCAGGTGCTAGAAGCTTCTGTGGCTGTTCAGTTACAGGTGTGTCTGCAGAGAGCATTGTCTCCAGCTCCTGAGCTGGTTACTGCATCCAAGTCCAGCTCTCAACACAGCAGTGAGTAGTGTGTCCCTGCTGACCCCACAAGCTGAGCACTGGTTATGTGGGATCCATTCCAGTAAAATGGAAATATTCTGTTCTAAGGTCCTCCAAGAGAGAAGACCCAAGATACAGCAGAAGAGATATCCCTGAAACGATCTGAACTTATACGGCAAATGCTGAAGGAAATGCAGGGGGGAGCACAAGGTGGGTCCATGTCCCTCAGCCTTCTCCTGAGACTCAGCAGCCGGGGGCTTTCTCTGCACATCTGGACACGCCATGCCTGGCACAGCAGGAAGGGACCCATCGCAGCCTCACTTCCCCTCTGCTGCCCCTCTGCTGCTTTCACAGCCTGCAGGGCTGTTCCCCAGCCTGGCCTGGCTGCAGCTTCTCCCCAGCCTCTGCAGGAAGGCATTTGGCATCAGCTGACAGGGAGCCCCAGTGCAGCACAGGCCATGCACACCCTGAGATCCCCTGCAATTTCTCAGTCTCCGGCTAGATCAGGTCGAGGGGCTGTTTGGAGAAGGGACCAACCTGGGACAATCCTGAAATCCTGGGTGTTTGCTGATCCTTATCCATGCCTTTCACAAATATTGCCTCCTGAAGATGGTACCTTCGCAATGAGGAACAGCCCCATCTGATCCAGCTGTCCCTCTTCCATTCTCCAGGAATGAAACGAGAGCCTGTGCAGCAGGAAATTCCTGAAGGAAGCAGTGATTCTGTGCCTGACTCTGCTGCAGGAAGGGAGGCCATGCCAGGCACAGTAACACAAGGTAATTGCTGTGCCTCTGGGCCTGAGCCCTGCTGAGGCTTGAGCTGCCACCGCTGCTGCTTGGCAGTGCCTGCCCTTCAGGGATGTTGCACAGAGCATGGAAAGGGTGTTGAGAGTGACCAGGAGGCAGCCCAGAGCTCCCCTGGCCCCTCTGCAGCTTTGGCCATGTCCATTGACACCTGGCTCCCACGGCCTTACCCAGCCCCACTGCAGTGCCCAGTTCCCTAAGGCTGAAGGATATCCCAGAATACCCTAAAAAAGGTTCTCATCTGTGCACCCTTCCAGATAAGGTTGCTGGCAAGGCTTCACCATTAGCTTGGCTATATAAAGTTTTGAAGCCCACTCGGCCTCCTGCAGGTATGTTCTCAGTGTCCCATGGAGGAATAATCATT